AAAAAAAAAAAAAAAGACTATCCTTTCTTCTCTATCTGACTTCTTTTTGTCACTCAGCTCCTTTTTTTTTTTTAAGACATAGAGTCTCATTTTGTCGCCCTTGGTAGAGTGCTGTAGCATCACAGCTCACAGCAACCTCTAGCTCTTGGGCTTAGGCTATTCTCTTGCCTCAGCCTCCTGAGTAGCTGGGACTATAGGTGCCTGCCACAACACCTGGCTATTTTTTGTTGCACTTTGACTGGGGCTAGGTACATACCCACCACCCTCTGTCCATGGGGCCGGTGCCCTACCCACTGAGCCACGGGCACCGCCTACTCAGCTCCATTTTCAAACTTATTTTTTCTACCAGGCTGTAACTGACCGTAAGCACTCCATGATTACTTCTTGTTCTGCCTACATATCAGGAATCTGCCCTACAAGCTTCAGTTGAATAGTGCAATGAAGCAAGTCGAGTTGGTTTGATCACATGCCCACTTTCTTGGTGTAGCATGAGATTAGTAAGGAGACTATTTTTACATAGAGTCCTGTGATAGGAAATACTTTACAGAACAATGTGGTTGGAGTATGCAATCGCCAAAAGAAATAATGGTGTTACCAGAAATGAAGAAGGGATATTGACCAGATAAAAGTTTGTAGACTAAGTGATTGTGTAGATGAGGCTACAAATAAGTCCAGATACATGAGTGAAAGAAAATACATGTTTTTTCAAGACAGAGTCTCACTATGTCACCCTTGGTAGAGTGCTGTGGCATCACAGCTCACAGCAACCTCAAACTCATGGGCTCAAGTGATTCTCTTGCCTCAGCCTCCCAAGTAGCTGGGACTACAGGTGCCCACCTCAACACCTAGCTATCTTTTGGTTGTAGTTGTCATTGTTGTTTGGCAGGGCTGAGCTGGGTTTGAACCCGCCAGCTTTGGTGTATGTGGCTGGTGCCCTAGCTGCTGAGCTATAGGTGCCGAGCCAGTAAAGAAAATAATAATAACAAATCCTTTAATGTACCTGATGATACTTTTTTTTTGAGAGTCTCACTCTGTGGCCCTGGGTAGAGTGCTCATAGCAACCTCGAACTCTTGGGCTCAAGTGATTCTCTTGTCTCAGCCTCCTGAGTAGTTGGGATTATAGGCGCCCTTCCACACAATGTCTACTTAATTTTTCTATTTTTAGTAGAAATAGGGTCTCACTCTTTCTCAGTCTGGCCTCAAACTACTGAGTTCAAGAAATCCACCTGCCTTGTCCTCCCAGAGTGTTAGGATTATAGTCGTGAGCCACTGCGCCTAGCTATGATACTATTAGTAATTATATTTTGCAAGTGTTATTGAATACTTTCCTTATACAAGGCATTGTGGTGGAATCTGTGATGGATAAAGGAGTCTTTATCCATTTAGTCAGAGAATAAAAGCTGTTTGACAGGGTTCCTGGACCACTGTTAGGTTTGTAATACATTTTAGATGAATGATGTTGTTGAATAAATTCAGATATGCCATAAAATTATGTAAATACTTTTGTAAGCTTTTAGAAGAAGGAATGATAATTTTTGTTTAGGATGATCAGAGATAGCTAGCTCAGTGAAAGAGGTGATAATTGAAATGGACCTTTCAAAAATGAAGATTTTTGAAAACAGTGTCCAGGAGGACAGGAGGCAGATGTGTAGAAATGACTTAAAGCAATGGTTCTCAACCTTCCTAATGCTGTGAACCTTTAATACAATTCTTCATGTTGTGGTGACCCCCAACCATAAAATTATTTTCACTGGTACTTCATAACTGTAATTTTGCTACTGTTATGAATCGTAATGCAAATATCTGATATGTAGGATGGTCTTAGGTGACCCCTGTGAAAGGGTTGTTTGACTCCCAAAGGGGTCGTGACCCACAGGTTGAGAACTGCTGAGCTAGAGGATCTGACATGTTCCTAACACATTCTATGCATGTATCAAAATATCACATGTATCTCATAAATACGTACAAATACTATGTATCAAAATATTATATATCAAAAAATAAATAGAAAGATTTTGTTTTCAGAATAAAGGTATCAATTATGTGGTTCATCCTTAAACTTAAAGACTCAGGCAATTTAGATCAATATTGTTCAGGATAAAGGTAGTGTGTTTTAAGGCCTAATAAGTATACAAAAAAAAATCAAGACACCAGAAGATTAATTCAGTTAATACAGAAGCCATATTACTGGCACAAAGCTCTCCTTGATCACCATGCTCCAATATTCCCAGCCTGCCCACCATCCCTCCTGCTCACCTGATAATAAGCACCAGCGGCATCAGCTTCACCATATGTGGAAAACTGATTGTAGCTGTAGTCATCCCCAGGCTTTCGCATCCAAGGGGCTCCACTTGAGCCTGCCACCATCTTGAACTCAAGGGGGGCATTGGCTGCATCGTCCTGGAAAGCCGGCTCTGGTTCCATGCCTGGAGGCAGCTCCTCAGGGACAGTGGGGACGGGGTAAGGGTATCAGGTGGCTTGGCCTTTTCAGGGAGGGAGAAAAAGTTCTCGGGAGCTACTTCCTCATCACTGTCATCCTCCTCTTGTGCGATTTGCTTTGTCACCTGCAGAGCTGCACTCTTGGCAGCAGTCTTGATAGCAGAGGGCGACGGAGTTGTGGTTGTAGTGCCCTCAACAGAGGCAAGAGGGGAAGTCTTGGTCTTAGAAGCCAGTTTAGAGGGCTTAGTATCAGAAGAGCCATCCGAGGGTTTGCGGGAGAAGGCACTGGGCAGGAGCAACCTGTTAATCTCTTTCACAGTCAGGTTTTTAGGTTGGGGAAGCAAGGCAGACAGACCAGGGCCCTTTCTGGATCCCTGGTGAGCCCAGGTTGGGGTAGGAGGGAAGAAAAATGACAAATGAGATATTATGTTATATACTAGCAAAACCAAAACCAAGAATTCTGCCCCTAAATCTTACTAACTCTTGTTTGGTTCTTACCACCACAACATGAGGAACTGTATTAAAGGGTTGCAGCATTAGGAAGTTTGAGAACCACTGCCTTAAAGTAATCTGTATGGTGGGTTCTGTATGATGTATCCTTCCCAGAGTTTTCTCTTTTTCTCTTATAACTGCAAGAGGAATACTTGCTTAGTATGAAGGAATCAAATATCATATATAAGGAAAATTAATTAAAGCCTTTCCCCATGATGATAATTTCATGCCCCAAGGAAACCACTGATTATTGTAATAGTTCGATGTGCATTTCTTTTTCTTTTTTTTTTTTTTTTTGAGATAGAGCCTCAAGCTGTCCCCCTGGGTTGAGGGCC